GCACTAAGTTTCCAAGCAGCTGTTCCAAGCATGGTAAGCAGTTTCCCTCCTGCACCTGACCTTGCCCTGTGATTATATTACCTAAGAGGATTGATAAAAATAATGCTGCAACAAGGTTGGCAGATTTTTTAAAAAAACAATCACTTTTTGCATCACAAGCAGAAAAGCAGTGCCCTTGCACCATTTTTAAGGACTATGGTGTCACATTGTCATTCTAGCTATGCGTCATGGTAATGTTTGGAGAGTCATTGTACAAGTCTAAATGCCATGTTTTGAAATAATTCTAAACTGCAAGGATTAGGAATAATTCCATACCAAATGCTTGTTAAGGTTTTTTTTTTTCATTTCTCTACACAATTCAGAAGGGGTTGTGGTGGCATGGTGGGTTAAACTGTTAAGGTGCAGAACTTGCTGACTGGAAGTGGATTCGGCAGTTCAAATCCACAGGACAGGGTAAGCTCCTTTTTTTTTTTAGCCCCAGCTTTTGCCAATCTAGCAGTTTGAAAACATGCAAATGTGAGTAGATCAATAGATACTGCTTCAGCGGGAAGGTAACAGTGCTCCATGCATATTCAAGCTGGCCACATGACCTTGGAGGCATCTATGGACAATGCCGGCTCTTTGGCATAGAAATGGAGATGAGCACTACTCCCCAGAGTTGGGCACGACTAGATTTACTATCAAGGGAAAACCTTTACCTTTACAGAATTCAGATTTAGCACCCATAGAAGATTCTATCCCATCTAATTCTAGTTATTTCATGAACCATTAGTAAAATGAGTTAAATTAAATGAATCTGTTCTCAAAGTCCACTGTGTGCATTGTTTCAAGTTTGGGTAGTGTGCTATTGACACATTCATTTCTCATTTCAATTCTTCTTCTTAAGCTATTTCTTGAACTGTTTGCTTCAGCCTGAAATGGACCCACTTTGTTATAGATTTATGGTTCTATGTTAAATTAAAGAAAACATGCATAAATAATCCAAAGAATAACATTATGGAGGACTAGGGAATTCTAGTGGAAGCCTCATCTGTACTACATCAAATATGGCAATTTATTCCTAGGGTGCCCAGATCTCAGAGCCTGAAGCATTTTCTCCAGCCTTCAGCACAAGGTAAAGAAATCATTCTGATATGCAACAGAATTATTATAACTTTGAGCAAATAATGGACTATTATTTAAGGGGTTTTTTTCTCCCAACACTACTGCTCTTAAAATACTCCTTAAATTATCAACATACAACAGGAATGCCTGCAAACACATACATTACCTTCTCAGAAGAAAAAGTCTTTTTCTATCATGGTGGGACTTAAGTTCCTTGACAACAAAGTTGTGGTTCTCAACTCTGTTAGCTCTCAAAGTTGAGATCCATTGCATTGAAATAAGGACACTGAAGTAAAATTGAGGGACTACAGCAGTTATGGGTAAACTCCGGCCCTCCAGCTGTTTTGGGTTTCAATTCCCAGAAATCCCAGCCATCTTACTGGCTGTTAGGAACTGTGGAAGTTGAAGTCCAAAACACTGGAGGGCTGAAGTTAGCTCATGCCTGGACTAGACCATACAGATGACCTCTGTATGTGGTTTAATGGGGTTGCCGGTTTGTCCTTTAGCATAGTCCTTTATTTTTAATCTCTGGCTGTATGTTTGATTTTCCACCCGTCAGTGGAAACACTTTATAAATACATATTATTATAATTATTACTCAGATAGCAGAACATAATGGGCTGGCTCATCTTACATCTGTTTACTTTGTAGGTGGGCTGCACATCCCTTTTATTATATTCAGTATCCAGATAAGTCAACCTCATGTAACAAAGTGCCAAGCTTTTCTTTATTCTTGAAAAAGGCAATCAAGATAATTGCTTGAATAAGCAGAACTGGTAGTAGGGCAAAGATTGTGATGTCACTTCTTAGTATTATCAGAAATCTTTCTTTGCAAGCATATTTTGTAAAAGATAAACTCATTATACTATGCTGGCACCAATAAAATGGTGAATAAATTCTTATCATAGTATTCTAAAAAAAGCAAGTGTTTACAGCTGGTTATTTATAGCAGATATATAAATAAGTTGTTAACAATGTAGAATGTCTGCATCAACAAGCCAACAACTTAGGAAGTGTTATATGCATTTCAATGTATATAAAGTCATTTATAATGGTAGCATTTTGAAAATAATGTATAAACCATGTATCTGAGGGTCCAGTATACAGTTTCTTTTATTTAAATTCAACAAAATATGTGCTCCCTATGCATTTTTTTAGGACTTCCAGCATTTCACTATGGCATTTTGAAAGAAGTCTGTCATCTCAA